TATATAATGGCCTTTTTAAACATGCTTTTAAATAGGCTTTCAAGTTTGGATATTAATAGCCTATTCTTCTTGTCTCATACGGCCATTTGAAATTGTTCTACTGTAATTCACTAACAAATTTCAAATAAAACTGGTAGTTTCCTCCTTGATAGTCTTTCGTGCATTAATCTCCTTAAACTACAAAATGTTGTCCCATAAGCAAACAGTGATGAATAATAAGAGGAGTGATAAATAAGTATCTCATGTGCAGGAAGTCAATGTTAGCTCATACAACAGGATTAAAGGAGGATATGGTTATTGTAGCACAAACAGTAAAGAAATGTGGTTGCTGGAATATAATGAAATGATTCCTAATTTGTACCAGAATTACTTCTCTAGTTTTGTAAAATATCGCACATTGCTAACAAACTTTTGTATATTTACATTTTATAATTAGTCATTTGTTTTTCCACCTGTAAAACTTAAAAGGATAAAAAACAATAACTGAATTAGAGTGCTAGAGCAAATTATGTGACATTATCTAAAAATCCTGATCATGCAATGTATTTTTCTCCATATCATATAATTAAGTCTGCTTTGGAACAAGGCTATGTAAGTTAAATATGCTAGATATTCATTCATTCATTCATTCATTCATTCATTCAATCAATTTCTAAAGCTGCCCAACTCAACCAAGTGACTCTAGCTGGAGTCCAGGATATTTAAGGACACAAAATCACAATTGTTTATACAAAGATTAAAATATAAAGTATATTGGTATTAGGTGCATTGGAATGTATAACTACCGTGTTTCTCCAACAATATGCCCCCCCCATAGGAAGACCCAGCATGTTTTCTAGGCATAAAATGAAATTAAGCCCCTTCCCCCAAATTTAGGCCTAGTTTAAAACATACAAAATTGGGGGGGGGGGAAGGTGGGGGGGGAAACTTGCCATTAGAAGTGCCCCGCGGGCAGCTACGCCTTGCCATCAGCCGCTCCTAACAGCCAATCATGGTGGAGCACAGAGGGCTCCCTTACCCCTCCCTTACCCGGGTCAGCAGGTGGGCCGTGTCGGCGTGGATGTCCGGCTGCTTCTCAGGCCTCCGTAGCTTCCATGGTTCCCACCGGTGCTGGCGCCTCTCTCGCCAGTGTTGTCTCCAACAACAGCGTCTGAGTCGCTCCCATTTTCCCCCCATCCCCATAACAACAGGAAAAAAAAAACATTTTGAGGTACCTGGGAGCGTCGCGCACTGTGTTTTGGTTTAATCCAGAGTGGCTGGGTGGGTGTGAGAAGAGCCAAGCGAATGTCTCTGTGCTGCTACCCTTGGTGCTCCAGCCTCGGGCTCTGCAAGTTTGCAAAAGTCCCGGTGCGCAGCCCATTCCTGCATTCCAAGCGCCCAGGCCGAGCTGCAGCTGTCCCTCTCTCACCAGTGCCGTCTCCAATAACAGCAGCAGCAGTGGCGGGAACCGTGGAAGTTACGGAGGCGGCTCCCCCACCCGAGAAGCGGCTGAAATGCTTCCACGGTTCCCGCCGCTGCTGCTGCTGTTGTTGGAGATGTCGCTGATGAGAGAGGGACAGCTGCAGCTCGGCCTGGGCGCTTGGAATGCAGGAACGGGCTGCGCATCGGGACTTTTGCAAACTTGCAGAGCCCGAGGCTGGAGCACCAAGGGTAGCAGCAGCAGAGACGCTTGCTCGGCTCTTCTCATGCCTACCTGGCCGCTCGGGATTAAACCAAAACGCAGCGCGCGGCGCACCCAGGTACCTCAGAATCTTTTTTTCCCTGTTGTTACAGGGACGGGGGAAAAGCGGGAGCGATTCAGATGCTGTTTTTGGAGACGGTGCTGGTGCACGGGGGGTGGGGGGAGAAATTAATTCACCCCCAAAAAGACATCCTAGCTGTTTTTTCGGGGTTCAAAAAAAAAAAAGGCCTGACTTTATTTTGTGAGAAACACGGTAATAGGGGGCAATCTTGGAAGGAAAATTATTTTTCCAACAGATCAAAGAGAGTCATCCAAGTTGTTTAAACGAAGTTAAATATTCAAAATTTTCAGAATAAAAAAGGGCATATTCATATATATATTCTTAATTTTGATCTCAATGCTCAAATATCTCAACAATTATTTTAATTTTGCACTAATTCTGTGTATTTACTTTTTAAAAATTCAGTAAATAAGCCAATGTGATCCCAAAGTCACTGAAAACACCACTATCATTCATTGATTAGGAATTATTCATAATCATACATTGAGCAGGTGTATTCTTTAGTACATATTTGTGGCCAGATGATTTCCTCTTTTTCATCTATATTTCAGGCACCCTCTGATAATTTTTATTTGCGGTATGTGTTGGATATCCAGGATAAATCTCTCTAAAAGTAAAAAAAATTCCTCCATTATGTGTAAACTTCACTTCCAAATGTCTATGGAGATTCACAGTCATCCAAGTCATGGTTGTCCCACAAGTGCTTTGTCAAAAGGCAACTGGATTTTGTTTTTCCTTGAAGACGTTTTGCTTTTGAAAGGACTTTTGAAAAAGCACCTTTGGGACAACTATGACCTGGATGACTGAGAATCTCCATAGACATTTGGAGCAAAGCTTACCCATAATGGAGCAAAACTATGGAAATGTAAGGAAAAACAATGAAAAAGCACCTTTTGAAAAAGCACCTTTGGGCCTTCGCTCACAAATCGTTGCTAGTAGTCATTGATGTTAGGGGTTAATTTTGCGTTGTTTTGCCAAACATATTTTTATTGGTCAATGACTAAAATAAAATTGATGCCTGTCTGTCTGTCATATACTGTGAAGATTCAGATGATGCAAATGAAGGGGTGGCAATGAAAACATACTCTATGCATTAATGCATACAAAATGATACTGCAGAACTCATATCTCAAGGTTATGCAGTGACATAAGAGCCAAGTACCCTAGTAACTAACATTTTACCGCAGCATCTATACAGAAGGTATCCAGTTAAGATTATTATCCCCATGTGGTTGAGGCTAATAGCAAGCACTTTATCTACAGTTTCTTAAAAATTCCACGGTTTTAAGAGATTTGCATTGAGTACATAGCAATTTTTTTCTGTTAAATCTGCACACAAGATATATGGATGGGAAAGTTGATCCAAATAGCCTATAACCTGCCACAAAATTTAAGAAGCTGCCTATAGGTGGGATGAATACAAATGCCAGTCCTAAGTGGTTTAATGTATTAATGAATATATAATAGCAGCATACTAAGTTTTCTTCTAAGACAGAAATTTGTAAAATTATAATCCAAAGTAACCCTGGACTTGATTCTGAACAATATAATGTCCCATGTGTTATTTGTATGTTAGTGACAAAGCTATGCTTAAATTTAATATTTGCACAGTCTTAGGCAACTGCATTCCTGGGATAGGAAATAGGAACCCACAACAAGTTTAATGAGATGTTAAAACACTCCTAGCACAATATTTGACAATTATTTCGGGAAACAACTTGAATCGTCTGCAGAGTCTAACACAGCAGAACCCCTGGCCCCAATCTAAAAGGTTTCATATCCTGGCAATTCACAAATAAGAACAAAAGTCCCCTATGCTCAGAAAACAAATTTACCTGCTGAGACATATTTTAAGACGGAGCTTACACACTGATCAATTTTTTCTAATGACTATTGCATCTATGGGTGAATGATGTTGAAATATGACTGCCAAGATGAAGAAATTATTCAAAATTGTAGCTGAGCTTCCAACAATCTACCAATAATAATTTTGAAATTCTCTCCTTGGAAGCAGGCTTGTCAAATGAGTAAATTATACCACATATTTATTCATTTCTCCTTCATATCAGAATGCAGTATAATGATTTTTTTTCTGGGAAAGAAAGAGGTGCCAATAATTCCTGGGCACAGTCATAAAATACTGCACATAGATTATTCCTACCATGACACCAACAACTCCACATTATCAAGAGCTGATGCAGATGTCATTTTATGGTTCCCATATATCAAATGCTGGTAACTGAATGAAACCTCAGTGGAATTCCCCCCACACCCGCCCCCTATAGCTGCTTATCATGTCCAGTAAAAATTGTTCAAAAGTGACAGCCACTAATAAAACACAAAGAATTATTTCTACCTGATGATTACTCATATAGTAGTCCCCTTTATCTCCTTGATACAAAAGCAATACTGATTATATATACAGTTAGTCACTTTGCAATGGCTTGACTTTGGCGCCCTCCAAATAATAGGGATGTTTATTATCAGTCACCTGGCGGGCAGAAAACATGGATAAGACTTTTCTGTGACCAAGGCTTTCAAAGAGACGTGTAACAGGGATAATGGGGTATGTGGGGTTGTCAATCCAACTCTACCAGGAGCCAGAGATGTAACAAATTCTTGGCCTCCATTGCTGCCAACTTTTCTTGTCGGAGTAAGAAACCAGAAGCAAAAAGAGAGAGGAAAGTGCTTTCTCCACTTAAGCAAAAGGTTTGGATGTAGCTTTTTTAAAATTTGAGAATTAAATAATTGGAAAAACAATCACCACACACTTATTAATTCAAAGAAAGAAAGACAGAAAGTCCTAAACATGCCTGCTCAAAATCTGAATTCAAAAATCCTAAACAAACTTGCTCCAAATTTGAACCTCCCCATATATCAATAATAGGTGTTAGATTTTAGATTTGGGATGGGGCACACTGGAAGCAGGAGGTGAAGATTGTAACTCTTAGTATATTCAGAGATAATTTACTGCAAGAAGTGAAGGGTTGCTCCCCTTCCTATATATTAATCCACCTTCTGCTTAAATCTTGGTGCTTCTGAGCTGGCATTGGCAGGCGTGTTTGATGTACTCTATGCCATGATCTATTTGTTCTTCTGATCCGAGCTGATCTTGCTACATAAATTCCTACAAAAAGCATTAAAATATGATAGAGCTTTATTCTTAGCAAAAGCTGTTGCTACTGCCATGCTACTTAAGAAGCTTGCCAACTGGTTATTCGTCATCAGAGTCAATGGAAGAGCTGCAATCATGTTTACCTGATGTTTCTTGAGATGATCTGCGCCTTTCTCCTGTTCTTCTCCTGTCTGCTGGGTTTCTGCCATTCCATGAAGCCATGCTGGTGCGTGCTTTGGTAGAACTGAGTTAACCTGAAAAAGGTTATGGGACAGACAAAATAGTCCTTATAACTGTTCCAGGATCACAGGCCCAACTCTCGTTTTCATCACTCAAAAGTCTGCCTCATTTTCTTAGAAAAGCAATCCCCCCCCCCATCACTCCTTCCTCCACAAACATCAATCCTTAACTTCCTTAACTTAATTTTTGACACTATCATTCTCATTATTCTCATAGATATACAGCAAAAACAGCTCCCGAAAAGCAGATTGGAAATGAGAACTTCTTAAAAAATACTTGCAATGGTTTGAATTGATTTATTTATTTAGAAAATTTATATTTCCGCCTACTCGCACATGGATACTCAAGGCATCTTACAAGGATATAAAAACACCATATAAAAGAAATAAACATAATAAAATGATAATTGCTGAGACAGTGTTGGATGTCAACAGATAGGTAATATACCTATATATGCAATACCCATACCTTCAATTCTGAGATTGGCAAATTGATATCATAAATAAATATGTCTATATCTGATCAAGTTGTGCAATAAGAGAACATATTTATAAATAAAATATAAGTATAAAGTAATGATTTAGTCATATATTTGTACATTAGGCTTTATATAAAATGTAAGACTTATTATTAAAACTTAATACTTCAAGTCCTAACCAAGAACCTAAGTATTATTATAGTGCCTTTAAAGAGGCAATTCCATGCAGGGTGTTGTTTTTGTAAAATTAGGGTGTTCAGGTCTTATGAACTCAATAATTACAGATATTGAGGAAGTCTTATGTATCTCTTTGAGGGCTCCCATTATGCTTGGTATAAAACAATAGATTTTTTTCTATAAGTGTTTATTATTAAATTAAACATAGTGCAATTCTTTGCTTTCTTGGCCTCTAAAGAGTAGATGAGCCATGGTCCCATTTCTGATACCTGCTTTCTCCCAATTACAGCTTAAATTAGAGACATTTATATCTGAAGTCCACTCAGTTTTAGCCTTTCTTTCAGCAATTCTGGGCTGTTTTTTAAAAGTAATGGCCATTTTGATTTTTTGGCAGAAATAGATGTTTGGGAGTGATTTGCTTATCTGCCCAAACCCATGTTTGCCCAAACTCAAGGTAATATGCAGCTGAAGTAAATGCTTATATGACTAAGCAGAGAATCTGGTGCTGCTCTGAAGGGCTGTCTGACAGGCTGGTAAACAGTACTGTTGAAAGAGGAGGGAAAGAAAATGATGATATTCTGGAAGAGTATGATAAACTCACAATTCAGTGGGTATACAACACAATGGTTGGCTGGATGGCCTGCTTATTTATTTCTGATTAATGGAGCCCAAAAATTCTAATCCCCTTAACAATCCCAAAAATCTGCTCTGGACCAAAAAAACCCACTTTATAATCTAATGAGACTCAAGACCCAATTTCTGACTCTATCAGTTGAATATAGATGTTGTTAATTGTTTGGAGGGCCCCTTTTCTTGCTTATGTAAGGAATTATGTGGTTTAGATTTATCAACCTCTGTGTCTTCCTGGGTCTACTTCTGTTTTCACTGTTATTGGTCGTATGCAATGGTTTCCAAGAATCACCTTAGGCATAATTTTGATAAAGAAAGGGTTTCATGATAGAAGGAAGTTGTTGCTCTTTGTATGCAACTACTATAGGAGTTGGAAAAACAGAAGAGGCAAAGGTCTGTTTTATAGGTAGCACTAAGGATCTGTATGACTTGGACAAACTGATAAGCAGTTGCTTATTCCTGGCTTTGCCTTCTGATGCATCTATTTACTTGGGACTGGTTCTGGTTCCTCTTTCATTCCTTCTGCAAAAGAAAACCACTAGAATTGTGCTGAATTAACTCTTTTCCAATTGGAAGGAAAGAGAAGAGGTTGACTAGGAGTAAGGTGGATGAACAAAGGCAACATGTGCATCCTTGGGAAACTTGAAAGAACAGGTTAGGGATAAATTGTCACGGAGAACATCTATCTATGTGGTGCCTAGGACTCAAAATGACTTGATGATACATCAATCAATCAGCTGATGGATGCCCTGAAATTGCTTGTATTTTCATAGGTTTATTTTTACATTTCTAACATGCAGGGTAAAAATATTTTTTAAACTTTTACTTTTTTAAATAGAGACTGAACCAAAAAGAAAGTTAAAAAAAAATACAACTTCAGATAAATTAGGAGAAAAACGAAAAACATTCCTTATAAATATTTGTAATAGTCATTGGACTTCTAATAAATATATATTACAAAATAGATCTACCTTAACAACAAATATTACAGCATCTTCTGATTAGTAAGGAATACTGGATTTTTCAAACCATATAGATCATGTATTTCTGACAAACATTGCTTAACATTTTAAATAATATCACTTTTCCAATTTCTCAATATGATTCTTCTAGCTCCCCCATGTGACATACCCATAATTCTTGATAAACAAATTCCAACATTTTGGTAAATAGTTCAATCTCATATTAACATCCTTAACATTTAGAGAGTTTCCTATAAATTTGCTTATACATATTAACACATTATTCCAAAAAGATATCAATTTATCCCATGACCATATCATATGGGTCAATGAATCCTCAAACATTTTATACTGCACCTCCAAAATAGAAAATCTGATGTCCATATTTTAAAATATACTCCTTGGAGAGTGCAATACACCCTAAATACATTTTAATGATCTGAATGTACTGTAGGGAAAATCTAACAATTCATTTGCTTCTAATACGCCTTATTGTTAAAAGAGGTGGTAGTCTCTTCGAATTCTGGGATAATGTGACCCTCTAACATGACAAATCATATATGGTTGCATAGGAACTGTCCTTCCCATGAATAAAATATATTATTTCATTGGGCTAGAGTTTGGCAAGAAATATATTGCATACAGTTTTCTAAGGAGATTCTCAATCATCCACGTGATGGTTGTCACAAAGGTGCTTTTTCAAACTTTCCTAGTTTTTCCTCAAGGAAATAGAATGATACAATTTTAGAAAGGAAAACAAAGAAAAACACTGACTCTCATTAACACGTGTGTCTGCAGACAACAGATATATTACAACACTAACACCTTCACAGAGGTGCTGGGGCCATGTACTTAGTTTTAAGACATCAAGTGGATTGCCAATATGTGGCAATAGTTTGCCACATGATCAACAGATATCAAAAGTATTACAGTATGTAGAAATGAGACTCTGGTCCATCTCAATGGGGTCAACCCATTTCTATTCACAAATGTGTTAGGTTTCAATAAAATCAAATTACAAAAACCTTAGCAACCTTTTTTTTTTAATAGACCAGATTTCAATGCCTAAATGTAAATATTTTCTAAACTAAATAAACATGACAGCATACAAATATTCCTTTCAGATTTATATGCTGTAATTTAAGGACCTCAACACAGAGAAGTCTTGCAGCACTATTAAGAAATGTAAGCAGGTGGACTACTGGTTTGTAAATTTAGCGCCACTTACAATCCAAGCCTGAATCCCATGCCTGAAGCAACATTTTAAAAGATAGTGCAGCCCCCTCTTTAATTTGCTTGGGACTCTGGTCAACAACTACAGTTTGAGAACCTCTGTATAAAGAAATAACTAATCTCTGCAATAGGATCTTAAATTCTAAATAAATAAGGGTTTAGTCTTAAGCTAGAACATTTTTCTTCCCCTTACTTGAATAAATTTCTGAGTCCTTGAAATGTCATAATAATCCATATTTTTGTTCAGAATAATTCACAGATGGTTAAAAGGGAAAAGACATATCTTCTATGAGGGCACTCAGTAATAAATTACTGGCAGTAATGAAATAATCTGCTGAGTCTATTTTATATTTATATGACCGAACTCTTTGCCACACATACAAAAGAATAGGAAATGCCATGAGAATTAGCCCATTTAGCAAATTGTGTCTATCACTGAATGTATGTGTGTGTATAAAATATTTTTTCAAATGTTATTCCTATTTCATTATTTATTTGGTAGAAAAATGTCGCTGCATGTTGGCAACTAATTTTGTACAATGATACAATTGTACAAAATCACCATGGAGACTACAATGAGCCCTTCATACATCAGTGCAATGAAAAACTAAAGCCATTAATAATGGAAACTGATAAATTACCATTGCATCAAGTTATGACAGCGAGACCAATGTTGCCAAGGAATTTCACAGAATTCTAGATCTTTAAGTTTCCTGAAAGGTTTTATTCAAAATAATATTGGGTTGCACTAGGAAGGTAATTTGTGTAGCATGATTTACCACATTATGCCAGGGCTGAGTACGCCAATTTTTCCTCTATTGACTGTTTACTTGATAATTCATTTACAGATACATAATTCACTTGGCTGTTCCTTTTTCTCTTTATTTGCAGAGAGTTCCTGTTGGGGGGAAAACTGTCAATCCTGGATAATATAGCTTGTTGACTGAAGGCAATGAAAAGTGAATGTAATATAAAATGTATTATTTTGTTCACAGCCGCTGCCCATTCAACAATTCTAGTTGATGGAAGCCTTGATGTTCTGCCTCTTGGTCTTATGTAGAGATTCTTTCCAACACTCTGGTTGTTATTTTCCCCCCTAACCACTATTGGTTTTCCCCCTCAAAACTGAATTAATGGTAGAAATTGAATACAAAGTTATACTGGAGAGGCACAAACCAAAAATAGAATTTGTGCCTAGTCTACTACCCAAATGGCAAACTAAGCGAACACAATATTTGAAATTATTGCTAATGAACTGCTTTTAAAAAACCTTAACAGATTTTAAAGAAAATAATAATATAGTCAGCATGTTTTGATACTGTTTGGACACAGATATAATTCTGATGTGTTTATTCAGAAGATGAATATTCCAATATTCCAATACTTTAGATGACATAAAAACATCATCTAAGTCCAGCATTCTAACTAATATAGTGGTCAATTTGTTTTCAATTGGGAAACTTGCTTGTCTGGACTAGTGTGTGGTATCTTCCTTTATTGGTTCCCAGCAAATAGCATTTAAGGCATGATGCTGATGACTGGGAGGACAAGAGGGTTTTCAAAGGAATACTTTGAATATCAAAGACCTTCTTCATAGATGAGGTATTGTAACAGCGAAGGCATGTTTACAACAGAATGGGACAACTCGCCACAGCCAACTCACCATGACCAACTCGCTGTAGGACAACTCACCGTGGGACAATTAGACAATTCACATTAATTATTTAAAATAAATTAAAAATATTTTAATTTTTGTCATTCACATTTCATTATGTCCCTCCTTTTGCATCCTTTATTTAATTATTCTATTCCACCACTTCTTTGATATATTAGCATAAGTCTTGCTTTGCAGTGGCTTGTCCCATAGCAAGTTGGCCAGAGCGAATTGTTTCGCACGGAGTTGGTCGCAGCAAGTAAGTGTGGTGAGTGGGCTGTAGTGAATTGTCATAGAGTAGACCCTGCTCATCAGAGAACATTGCTTAATGGATGGGACATGAAGAATATCTGTTCTATCAGACTCTGAGAGATAGAAAGTAATGAAGGGAGAGAAATGATCCCTCAGACCACCTCTCTCTCCTCATTTAATAAGCAGCCATCAAAATTCCTACCTACTAATAGCCTAATCTGCTATGAACCTGCCCAGTCCTGTTGGCTATTGTTACCACTAGCCTCTTAGCCAACTTTTCTTACCAGGCAGGCTCAGACATACCCAGTCTACAGTCGCTCGTTTTTGGACATGGAACTTATTCTTGCTAGAGAGGCAAATAAGATTCTTCTCCAATTTCTAATTAAAGTTATAATTTGCAGGAGGAACAAAAAGGCATAGAGATAACACTGGTTCTAAGTGTTGTCTATTCTCTAGAGCAGAAAAGTTAGCTAAAAGCTGCTCTAAGTTTAATATAGTTTTGTGCTTTTCAATCTGATCTCTGGCAATAAAGGGAACAGCTGGATTAAGAACCACAAAAACGATATGAAAAAAGTGTTTTAGGGATCATGCAAACACCACATCTCTCTCCTATTCAAAAGCCAGCATATATTTCTTTAAGATTTCCCCCAGTCAAATAAGTGCAATTCTGAAAGGAGCATCATCTTCAGGATTGTATGGAAGCTTGAAAAATATTGCTCAGCTTTAATGAAGGGCCTATAATACTCAGAATGGTTTCCCATAAAAAGAAACCCCAAGCATATTGCCTCATTCTTTTCTTCCTTCAATTCCCTGCTATAGCTCCCATATTCCATTGTAATGCAACAAAAGACATGCTGCTTTTAATCACCACTTTTTGTTTCACTGGTTACTCCTGCAGTCATTTTCCTCCCTTTGCCCTTTAATTTTCTTGGTGGCGTTTTAGACAGGACAACAATGCGTCCTGCTGCCGGAGAACTAGGTTCAACAATAACCACAACTGCCAAGCACAGATGAAATGATGCTTCACTAAGTCCATGAACACAATTAGCAAATTAATACAGGTAGTCCTCGACTTATGACCACAATTGAGCCCAAAATTTCTGTTGTTAAGTGAGACATTTGTGAAGTGAATTTTTTTCCTATTTTACATCTTTTCTTGCCACAGTTGTTAAGTGAATTGTTGTGCTTGAAAAGTTAGTAACCTGGCTATTAAGTGAATCTGGCTTCCCCATTGTCTTTGCTTGTCAGAAGATTGGAAAAGGAGATCACACAACCCTGGGACACAGCAAAGGTCACAAATATGAACCAGCTGCCAAGCATCCGAATTTTGATCACATGATCATGGGAATGCTACGAAGGTTGTATCTATGAAAAATGATCATGTCACATTTTTCAGTGATGTTGTAACTTTGAACTATCACTAAATGAACTATTGTTAAGTCGAGGACTACCTGTATAACAACAACAACAACAACAACAAAATCACTGAAGTATGCTGCAGTTCCTCCAGGCAACCAACTGGCAACTCCAGGCAATAAATGTTTCTCACATGCAACTGCCAGCCTTGTGAACAGTAATAATCCCAGTGCACATAATACAAGAATCCTCTTGCTTTCTTGGAGTAAACAATCCATTGGGCCTGCTACACACAAAAGAATTTATAGTCTTCCGTGTTAACTTCTTGTACTGCACTCCTCTGACCTTTTATCATAGTAAATCATTTACCGCACATCCTAGTCTTGGTTTGCCTGTAGCAAGGCTACAGAGAAAATCAACTTGACCTAAGACAGATTCTTAAGAAGTCCTATTTGAACTTTACTGTATCAAACATAAAGGCTATTTTGTTAAACAAATTATTCCAGTTGTTACTGGCCCAAATGCCACCATGTGTTTGGGAAAGTTGTCTCTAAACAACTTAATTATACATTCATTTAACCATGGCTAATTAAATAAACAGCTGATTGAGTTTATATATCCCATTCTTTTTACCACATGGTTTAATTTTAGCTTAGTGTCTTTTGTGAACTCAACCAGATTCTCTCAAATCATGAAATATACAGGAGCTAAAGAGTGTATTAAACAGGCAGGTCATTTTGACAAATCATTAAGTTGGCATCTAAATTTGAAGGGGATGGCGATTCTATTTGTTTCTTTATTCTCTTTCACAGTAAATAGCAAAACTAGGATAGGATTGGTTCTTACTTTAATATAAGGCCATCAAGGAATACCAAGGCACAAAACTCACCCCCCCCAAAAAAAAAAAATCTCAGAAGGTACTAAGGGCAAACCACTTCCCTACCGCTACCAATAAAAACCACACTGATAACAAAACACCAAGAATAAATCTCAACTGAGGACTCTACCTCTGGAAACCAAACAATGTTAATTTACAACTGCATGAGGTATTTAACTGCTTCATTCTTGTCACTTTGCAACTACTGTTACTTTTGTGTATTGTTGCTTATTTAGAGGGAAACCAACTACGAAAGTAATTCTTTGCTTTTTTCTCTCTCTCCTTTTATTCTGTCTTCCTGTTCCTCAGCTATCCCCAAATTAAATCTGCAATGGAACATGAAGAGTTGTGACTGATAGATTAAACTGATGAAGTCATTTTTGATAATTATGAAAGTGAAAGTCAAATATCTCTGGACTATCCAAATTAGGGTAGAAGCCACCTAAAGCCACTCCTATGCTATGTACTTTTTTGTGTGTCCTGGATAACACATGGTATTCATATTTGCGTAGGAGAAACAATGATTAATTGTTAGGTAAAGGAGGTTCAGAAAAGCTTCATTTTCTGATACCTAAGCTGAAACAGTACTTTATATTTATAGTGTGAACACAGTCAGATTTAATAATAGTTTAATCTTTAACGGAACAATTCTAGAACCATATTCCTAAAAAATCCACCTTAAACTAATGCAAATACTTTACTAACTTCCAGATACATGAACTTGAACTCCCTGAATTCCCCAACCAGTATGTCTACTGCTGACAATTCTGAGAGTTGAGGTGCATAGATCTGGAAGTTGCCAATGTTCTAAAGCTATATCGTAAGTTAGATTTTGACAAAACATAATTAAACTATCTACTAACAAACTCCATGCAAATACACGAATTGGCAAAACACAATGAAACTTAAGTTAAAGCTAAACTGGCTAGATTCATGCAACCCAATAAGATCCCATCTCATATGCTTCCTGTTGTGCAAACACACACACACATATATATAAATTAAATTCAGGTGAAACAAATGTTAACTCTGGCAACAGAACACTTAATACTTGTGATAACCCGTCTTGCTGTGGACAGTTAAAACTAAAGGGTTTTTTAGTTATCGCAACGTTATCGGAGCAACCCTTACACTTTCCGGTGCTAGTTTTAAATTGGTTTTTGTTACTCCCAAGAAAAGGCAGCAGTACTTCGTGCAGCCCAACATTATAAGGCACAAGAAATAAGGACCAAGTTAAAACCACCGCCAATGGACATTTATAACTCACCTCGAACATTTGCCATTGTTAACAGTACCATCGCTAAGAGGGGGGAAATGACCGTAAGTCCGTTAGGAAAACACGGACACCCCTTCTAAATTTCACGCCCCGGGTCATACGCACATTAATCCGGAATAACTGACACCCCGCAGTTCCCAACTTACAATATCTATCTTTAAAGGACGAGGGCCAGGTTTTTAGCCCCGGCGATGCACCGCAAAGCTCGGAGGGAAGAAGAGGTGGAGAGTTACGTTCTGCTTTGCGGCAATCTCTCGCCTGGAGGCTCGTCCTTCTCCCCGGGTCCTCCCTGCTTGACCCTCCTGCTCCTAGGAAGCACCTCTAGGCCTGCGGCGCACTTTTGCTCAGCCGAGCAGGCGGCGCTTCAGAGCGCAAAGCGTCGCCAGCAGCCTTGCATCCCCAGCTCCGCATCCAGCCGAAGGCCCGAAGAGCCTTCGAAGAACCCCCCACCCCCGTGACGCACCCAGGAAAACCGCCCCCCCCCCACAAGAGAAACAGATGCAATGTTTCTTCCTGCTTCCTTGGACCGGGAAGAGGCAGAAGATCGCGGCTCCTGCACGGCTCGGGCATCCCACAACGTCAGGACCCGCCTTCGCGCGGATTCCCCGCCTTTCCCGGCCGCGGCACTCACCCCGCTTCTTTTCCACGGGCTGCTCAGAAGAAAGTGGACAGGGCCTCGCCCGGCTCCTGCGCCGCTTTCGTTCTCTGCCGCCCGCAATCTTGCGCTGCTGGGCAAGCGAAAGACCCTTTGCTCCGAAAGGAAGGATGAAGTTTAAAAAAATAATAATAAAAATAAAAAAAATCATAGATGCAAAGCAGGTGAAAGCCACGGGACTTCTGGCAGCGCCCTCTAGAGGGCGTGTTCTTCGTAGCCGCCGTATGCTGTGCGGGGAAATGGGGTGGGTGGGAAGGAAATCGCTTCCTTTTGCCCTGCGCAAACGGGGCTCGAAAACGTACGCTCGCACACGTGGGCTGCACACCACTGTATCCCCTGGCAGGAGACGGTTATGCAAAGCGCAGAAAAGGGGTTTGAAAAATCCAAAAGGGGAAACTTGCTAAGTCTACACAACAAGGGTCTTCAAACTTGGCAAGTTTGAAGACTTGTGGACTTCAACTCCCAGAATTCCTGAACTAAGCTGGCTGGTGGAGGAATTCTGGGAGTTGAAGTCCACAAGTCTTAAAGCTGTCAAGTTTGAAGACCCCTGCGTATACAATAATACCATTAGTCCTGTGTGTCCAGTTTTGTTTGGCGGGGTGTGGTCAGCGTTGATTCCTGGGCTAGTCCCTTTACTTTGGAAGTCCTTTGTCATTGCCTCCCTCCTAGGGCTGAGAAAGTTGGCTTCATGCCTAAGGTGGGACTAGAACTCAGGGTTTTCTGATTTCTAGCCTGATGCCTTACCCTTCAAACACCACATCTCCCTATCTCTGAAAACCATTTTTTGTTCCTTACCACTTTCTACATTGCCTAGTTTCTCACCTTACTTATTAACTCCATTCAGCTGTGTATTTTTGGAAGCTTCCTTTTTTGCCACTCACACACTTTTCTTTCATATATTTCTTTTGTGACTTGATTCTTAATTCATTATTTAAAATGCACTCAGTGTTGCCAGAGTTCAGCTGAAGCCTGTTATTCCCCATGATCTCCAGACATTGGGATAGAGCATCAGGAGCATCACTTAATTCATCAGGGATAAAGATATATTGATACCTCACCTCACCAAGATATTTATTTATTTATTTATTTTTGTCAATTGCTTACAAGATAATAGATATAAGTAAAAACATAGTTATGAATACATGGATACACATAAGAAAAATAAAAAAAATAAAAGAAACAATAGGACAGGGATGGTAGGCACATTGGTGCGCTTATGCACGCCCCCTACAGGCCTCTTAGGAAAGGGGTGAGGTCAATAGAAGACAGTCTAAGGTTAAAGTTTTTGGGGTTTGGGGAAGAAACCACAGAATCAGGTAGAGTATTCCAGACATTGACCACTCTGTTGCTGAAGTCGTATTTCCTGCAATCAAATTTGGTGCGATTAACCTTGAGTTTGTATCTATTGTTTGCTCTTGTGTTGCTATGGTTGAAGCTGAAGTATTCATTGATAGGTAGGACATTGCAATGTATGATTTTATATACTATACTTAGATTGGACCGAAGTCGGCATAGTTCTAGGTTTTCTAGGTCTAGAATTTCGAGTCTGGTGGCATAAGGTATTCTGCAATGAGTAGAGGAGTGGAGAACTCTTCTTGTGAAATATTTCTGAACTTTCTCAACTGTGTTAATATCAGATACGTAATGTGGGTTCCAGACTGATGAGCTGTATTTGAGTATTGGTCTAGCAAATGTTTTGTATGCTCTAGTTATTAGTGTAATATTACCAGAGAAAAAGCTACATAAGATTAGATTAACAACTCTTAACGCCTTTTTGGTTATGTAGTTACAGTGGGCTCTAGCACTTAGGTCATTAGAGATGAGCACTCCAAGATCCTTGACAGAGTTTGGATCATCAACAAGGTCTTGACTATTCAGCCTGTATTTTATTTCCTGATTTTTTTTTTTTGCCAATATGTAAGACAGCACATTTATTTGTTGAGATTTGAAGTTGCCATTTGTTTCACCATTCTGATACATAGTCAAGGTCTTTTTGAAGGGTAGCAGTATTGCCTGTGATGTTGAATAGCTTTACATCATCAGCAAAGAGAACGCAGTTGCTCTTGATATGACCACAGAGGTCATTTATGTAGAGTATGAAAAGAGTTGGTTCTAGAACTCTGCCTTGGGGGACACTACTGTTGACAGGTACAGAATTTGATAAGACACTCCTAATTGTGACCTTTTGTTGTCTGTTTGACAGGAATGCTTCTATCCAATTATGCAGGTGTCCAGAGATACTGTAAGATTTTAGTTTTAGGAGTAGTTTGTCGTGTACCACTGAATCAAAGGCTTTACAGAATTCTATGTAGATTGCGTCTATTGCTTTGCCCTGATCAAGTTGTGTAGTCCATATGTTTTTGCAGTGTAACAGTTGCAGATTACATGATCGTTTTTTCCTGAAACCAAATTGTTTATTAGAGAGTAGGTTGTTTGTCTCTAAGTGGAGGATGATGGATTGGTTAATAATTGATTCCATGAATTTACAGGTGACGCAGCATAAAGAGATTGGTCTGTAATTTTCAACTAGCCTGGGGTCCCCCTTTAGGAAGATGGGGATGACCGTGGCTTGTGACCATTGTTTTGGCAAGGAACTGGTCCTGAAAGATTTTTCAAAGATTATGCTTAGAGGTTCGGCTATGGCAGTGGATAGCTTTTTAAAGAAGTAGGCACATATTCCATCCAGTCCAATAGATAGAGATGGTTTTAGATTGTGTGGTGCTTTTTCAACATTGTCTTCTGTAAAATCGATATGTATTAGATCATTGTAGTTGTCTGTTCAACTAGGAAATACTGGGCATGATCCATTGCTGTTTACAAATACTGAGCCAAAGAATGTGTTAAAGAGGTTGGCTTTAATGGTGTCATCATTGCAGTCTTTACCATTTGGTCCTTTCAGGGGTGGGGGATGGACCTTGAGTCTTTTAGTTTGTTGTTTAAAAAATTGTAGAAAGCGCAGGTGGAATTTGTGCGTAGGTTTTCTTCTTGTTTAATGTGATAATTGAGTTTTTATCAATTATCTGAGCATTCAGTTTTTATCTGGTGGCATAAATTTTTGTATCAGCTTTTGAAGTTGGCAACGTGACCAGATTTGTTTTTCCGCCAAAGTGATTTCTTTTTGAATTGAAGCTTCCTTATTGTTATGGATAATTTGTTTTTTCTGGTTTTGGGAGTTAATGGTACATATAGTTTGACGACTCTTTTGACTTCAAGTAAAAATATGTTGTAATGGTCTTCTACAGTATTACATCCAGAGAATAGAAATTGCCAATCAAGGGATGAGAGATCGTTGTTTATAAGATCATAGTTGCCTTTTTTGAAGTTATATTTGGGGATTCCGTCATTGTGATGATTTTTGTGTGGACGTATGTTGAAACAAAAGTCAATCATGTTGTGGTCACTGTTGGAAAAGGGTTCTTTAATTTGTATTCCGTGAATTGAATTCAAACTATTGCAGAAGATGAGATCGAGGCAGTTGTTAAGTCTAGTGTTGTTGGTTACTAGTTGTTCTAGTCCCAGATTTGTTTCTGCATTGTAGAAGGTTGCATGTGTGGGTTCAGTTGTACATTTGTTAAGGGTCCAGTTAATATGAGGTAGATTGAAATCACCAAGAAAGATAAAAGTGTGTGGGCAGGATGTTAGTAGTGTATTTAGCTTGTTTGCATGTTCAATGTCATAATCAGGGGTTCTGTAACATAGTAAGAACCGAAATGTGATATTTAAGGACAGTTCACAGACGATGGTCTCAGAATATTAAGGCAGAAGAATAGTTCATGTAGATGTTAAATAAAGAGGTCACTAGAGTTTCCTCGTGAGAAATGGTGAGTTAAGATATCTCTGTGATAGCTAGGAACAAAGAACTGGCAAGTAGATTGGTTGCACAGAAACTTCCTGGACAAAGAGAGGATGGGAAATTGCCCTCTTGTGCTCTATATCAGGGGTCGCCAACTTTTTGGAGCTCAGGGGCCACCAAACTCATAATTTTAAATCCCACGGATAAGAGACCCTGGGAAAATCCCCCAAAAAAGTCTGCGGGAAAATTCCCCACCCTGTTTTCCTACCGGTCAATCATTCTTTATTTGGGATTGCAGGATGCTGTCTCCAGCTCCATTCT